TTATATATAAAGTATTCACTTTACTTTATATAACCTTTATATGATATATCATAACCCAAATAATTATTTATAACACAAAGCTGTTCCTCAAAATACGGATCCTGAAACAATGGAGGTACAGTATACTGAAACATAGGCTTACTGAACTGAAACACACTCAAAAGAAAGTGTACAAAGTCATCAAGGCCAGAGACTGGCTACTCTGGGCTATAAATCTTCATTAGTAGGAGTAGGTCATTTGTCTATACGGTTGAGTAATCCCCTAATTTGGGGAGCTGAAACCGTTTTCTTGCTAACTTACCTCAGTTGCCGATAGTATGAACACTCTTCCCATATTGCTCTGCACCGGAAACAAAACTAAGATATCTTTGTTAATAGAGATATCTCTATTAATAGAGATATCTCTATTTAAAACTAAGATATCTCTATTTATTTTTATAATAGAGATATCTTAGATTTCAATAGAGATATCTCTATTAATAGAGATATCTCTATTTATAGAGATATCTCTATTAACAGAGATATCTCTATTAAAAACTAAGATATCTCTATTAAAAACTAAGATATCTCCATTTAAAACTAAGATATCTCTATTTATGATTAAATGACAACTCGGCCCGCCATATTGTTTTGTTTTAAATTCACATCCAGCGTTAGGCACACTGAATTGTTTAATGCTTCATAAATTATTTGGTTAACTTAGAATTTACAATGAAACTGATAATTTATAAGATTATTTTTTTGAAACAGAATACCGTAAAATAGGTAACAATTTATTGAGAAAAAAAAAAACAAATTTTACATTGACGACGTAAGTTGATTTAATATGCTGAATCATTGTTAAAGGTATATAGCCCTACCTATTATATTTCTGTAAATTAATCAACAAATATATCATTAATCATACTATCGTAAATTAAGTATTATTGAAGTATTATTCAATTTTTATACCGCCATGAATAAAGCATTATTCGAGCACCTTCATTATTATTATTATTATTATTATTATTATTTTATATATTATTTATCAACTATATTAACATTAAAAACATGAATTAGCATATATGGATAAAATTATCGCAGAAAATAAACTTATAATTTATAAGATTATTTTTTTAAAACAGAATCAAATAGGTAACATTTTAATTTAAAATCGGGTTTTGCATGGACGTAATTTTATTTAATATTCTGATCAGTATTATCTCATTATTCAAAATATCGTAAAATTATTATTATTATTATTGTTTGTTTATTTTTTGTTTTATGTATATGCATAGGCCTATATAATATATAATGTATATATTTATTAATTGAATTAGAAATAATTGTTTAAATTACTAATTGTAAAACAAATATAATATAATGTTTACAATAAGCTAAGCTAGACCTAATCAATTATTTATATAATAAAGCCAAATATTTAGAACATCATCACAGTCCAGCCCTCCAAATCTTGTTTTATTATCTAATTAACTGAATTCACGTCAATGTTATATTTTGATCTTCATTCATAATTATTATTATTATCATTATTATTACTTTTTTATTTTTATTTATTAATTATTATTATCTGTATTATCTGTATTATTATTATTATTATTATTATTATTATTGTACAGATATGTTCCCTTTTTTTCCTACTAGTCTCATTACGTTTTGAGTGAAATTAAATTATGAATTATGAATTATACCAATGTCATCTATCGATAAAAACATCGATTCGATTAATTAACAGCAGCTTTTCGCACTGCAGCAGTGCCGATAGAAAACAGTAACTTTTTCGCACTGCGGCAGTGCCAATAAAAAACGGCAGCTTTTTGGCACTGCCGATAAAAAACAGCAGCTTTTTTTCGCACTGTGTCAGTGCCAAATCGGCACTGCGGCAGTGCCGATAGCCACTACCTTTTTTGGTACATAGTAGAATTGTGCTAAAAATACTATATGAGTATAATATCCCCCATTCATGTTCTGTTTGTCTAATTATTATATCAGCTACTAAACAAAATTTTTGCAATGCATGAATTTATATAAAATCATGAATTTATCGAGAAAAGTAAGGCCGGTCTACTGTAAAAATATGTAAACAAACAACGCCCTAACTCCGTAAATGTTAATAACGCTAAACATGGTCGTAATTATCGTCGTTTTACAAAATTGTGCAATTTTTCTGGATGTTATCGTTGGTCGCCAATGAACAATCAGTGTCTGTTCTTGTATTCTGTGAAATATTGGCCTGACAACTTCTTCCGATTTTTAAAAATTTTTGATTGAAAACAGCAAATATTTTGGCTTTACTAGGCGTTCTTGACAACTCCACAGGCTCATACGCGCAATTTTACGCGTTGTTTATACATGCGCTAGGCCTAGATTGAGGCCTAGATTTTATTGTGGTTTTGGATAGGCTTTGTTGCATTAATGTTGTTAAATGTTAAAATTATAATTGTATAATATATATATTAGTTTTATTCAGCTAATATATGATAAATACAGGCTTGCATTGAATAACATTTTATATTTTGATGGCAATAATTAGGATAGCTCTAGAATAAAGACAATTTAAAATATAAATAAATGTAAATAATGATCCAATATTCATCTGTGAAAATAGCCAGTATCATTTACAATCATCATTCTTCTTACACCTCAGTTTACAAATAGACACAAACATTTTGTTCTACATGTTATATTTTTAATGAAAAAAATAAACCTTTAAAAAATACAAGAATCCAAATTAAACCGAAAGGTCCACTGATTAATCCCAGATACAGATAGAATAATACCTACTCAAAGTTTAGGGATTCAATACTTTGATATTAATTATGTCATCATCAGGAATCCAAATTAAAGGTATGCAATCAGGTTAATACTGACAGTTATTTTTGTACAATTTGCTATTGCACTTTATAAGTAGAAAATTCAATATATTCACACTATATTATAGTACTGCACAACAAAATATGTTATTGTGCTTTGTGTTAATATGTGCAGTAATTAGTGTGTAAATTTATTTTCACAAAAAGGGTATGGGGTTTTAAACAATCTGTTCTCAATAGTAAGTTGATTCAGAGAAAATATAAATTTCCCATCATCTGAACAAACAAGAATGCTAAACAAAACTGTCTGTAACAAAATGACGAGTCCATCTGTTTCCATGTAGTTTGCATATCGATTAAAACCGGATAGATGTAAACATATCTCACCGTAGTATCCGATTTTCATCCTGCGTCGTAACAATTAAAGAAGCTGAAAAGATAAATATAAATATATTTTAATTAGGCAATACCTAAGAATATAATTCATTCTAGGCAATGGAAAGTAAACAATTTTAAGTGTTAATTATATTGTGCGCTCACTTTTCCCTTGGTTTCGATGTGGTACAAATGGCATTACAGTTTTATTATTATTATTATTATTATTATTATTATTATTATTATTATTATTATTATTATTATTTTATAATAGTTTGGGAATACAAGTACAGTAACATTCCAAACAAAAAAAATAAACACCATACATTAAAAAAAAGGGGCAATTCATTTAAAAATGAACAACCAAGTTAATGCTTAGGAAGACTGGCGCTTGCTAATAGTAAAGGTCTCCCAACAACATAACCAAAACGGATATCAATGAAAATACAACATTTGATATACTGTATTTAAGAACATGCGATGTGATTTATAAAGCATATTGTGATGATACATAATTTAAAAAAAATAATAATTGTACAGAAGTAGAATTATTTAAAATACCTTAATATCTGTTTTAGTATCATTTTTTTTCTGCTACTCTCCATGAACACCATCCAGCTGCTCTTTCCTTTATGTTCAAATTGATTATCTCCATGATGTATTTTGTCAGCTCGCTTGTATCTTGTTTAAAATTAAAAATAAAAAGTTATTATTGCCATTTTTTTTTCATTAAAAAATTATAACAAACATTAGACATTAATAATACCACCAAACTTCAGATACTAAAAAAAAAGAAATTTCAAAGTATAATAATAATAATAATAATAATAATAATAATAATCATTAAATATGTTTAGACATTTTAAAATTACAAGATAAATGTTCTTATAAAACTTGGGGTCTGAATAATCCTAAAAAATATGTCTATAGCGAATAGACTAGGCCTAGCGTAGGCCTACTTTCACGTGAGAGCATACCGCGTATACTTAAAAAATTTAAATACCCTCCGGGCCAAACGTTGTTTACTTTCACCTAAGCCCAGGCGGCAGCTTACCCTCCCGTAGCGTACGCTATTTTTAGGGAGCCTAAACCTAGTTTTGCCTATGGAAGACTGCTAGAAACATTTGAATTATGTTTTAAAAACATATTAGTTATCTTGTCTGTGTTATTTATTACGCCATAAACGTCTAAAAGGTAGACATGCTAGGCCTGCCTAGGGTAAACACGTGTATTTTAAAGGCCAGACACGGCCATTTTTTAAACTTAAATAAAATTTTTACCGGAACAGTTGTCAGAGAGATTTTTGGAGAATAATGCAGAAGTCAAATAGTAATAACATGGAGCAAGTGGCAATATTTCAAAAATTTGTAAAAATTATTTATAGCCATGTACATTTTTACATTCAAGATTTTCTTAAGTTTTGGGTGAAAAACATGGAATAAATTCAAATACTCACACGTAAAATCAGGAGCCATGACATCGTACCTATGTTATACTACGGAACTGCTTAGCACTTCTTCGATAATATCATGAATATTCATTATTTTTTTTAATTTTAAAGCTGTTGGTTGGTCATTTAAAAACCCATATATGGAGAATAATGAAAATATCGCTTCCGCGTTAGCGCCCCCAGCTACGAGAATATCTAAAATGTATAATAGTAACCAACAGAGGGCTCACTACTTATTGTCTATATTAATAAACCGTTCTCACGGCGGGGAGTGTTGTCCATAGCGAGCTCTATCTTTGACCCAATGGGATTCATAGCCCCGTTACAATACTGTACTAGGAAAGTTGCTCCTACGAGAAATAATGACAGAAATGAAAGGCGAACACAACTCTCCTCAGGATGTGTGGGACCGATACCTTCCTAAATGGAACCAATGGCTAGAGTCACTCAATCATCTTAAAAATGTAAACGTGAAAAGATGCTACCGGCCACCAGATTTTGGCGTCGTCAAAGGCAAGGAAATACATATATTCTCCGACGCCAGCAACCTTGCCATTGGAGCTGTGGCTTATTTGCGACAAGTAAACGAGCACAACCAACCCTACGTCTCTTTTTTGCTGGCCAAGGCGAAGGTAACGCCAACACATGCTGTATTCATACCACGACTGGAACTTTGTGCAGCAGTACTAGCTACCACCCTTGTACGGACAATTTGCTCCGAACTTGGCAGCCGAATAATATTAGATAGTACCACTTTTTACACAGACAGTAAAGTGGTACTAGGATACATATCCAACGAGTCAAAACGATTTCACACTTACGTCGCAAATCGAGTGAACAAAATACACGACACCTTGTTAAAACCACATCAGGGGCACCACGTACCTACAGACGAGAATCCTGCCAACATAGCTTCACGTTCTGTGCCAGCTAGTCATCTCAATGCTACAATTTGGTTCAAAGGACCAACGTTTCTTTGGCAGAAGAACTACTTGTCAGAATCCAGAGAAAAACCTCACCCGAACCCGCAGTATCTACTCTTTGAAAGTGATCCAGAATTACGTACAAGACAACGTAAATTCTACAAACTTATCAGCTACTCACATAACGAAGTCTAATTTAGGCTGCGAACGTTTTTCACGCTTCTCTACATGGATATATCACTCAAAAGAGCTATTGCAATGTTAATTGTCAAAGCACAGACCGTCAAATCAGAAAAACATAACCCAAATCCTAAACCGGTGGGCATTGAAGAACTTCGACGTGCTGAGATATCCATTGTCACCACAGTACAGAAAGATCAA